CTCATGCACAGTAGGGGGCGGTATGCACCTAAAAGTTGTTTGCGATTCGCCATTAATTCAAAAGAAGAAGAAGAAGATCGGATCCTTTTCGGTGACGGACACATTTGCACTTCCTGTTGTTGCCTGCGCACTAAATATTTGGAGCTCCAGCTAAAGTTTGTTTGTTTGTTTGTTTGTTTGTTTGTTTGTTTCTCTTCGACGAAAAGTCAGCGGAATTTGGACGGGATGCCTCTGTCGGATCGGTCGAGCTCTGACGGCGGTGGCGAACCGCGCAGTCCTCGGGCTCGAAGACGACACCGCAGCGGGGACAGCCTCTCTCCGGACAGCTTTGGGCCCAAACTCCCGCAACCACGCAACCGAGAGAGGGAGCGAGAAGAGCGCGAGCGTCGTTTCAAAGAGGCGAGAAACATCAGGCGATTCCGCATCGGAAGTCCCCGTAGAAGCCGCTCCAGATCCAGGTCTCGGTCCCGAGAGCGTCAGAACCACAACCAGAACCAGAACCACTGGTCGGAGCAGCGGGACACAGCTGGGAAACACGGCAGCTTCAAAGATGATTATTATTACCAGCAGCAGAGGGACGATGTTCAGAGGCAGAGACAAGAAGCTTTTATCGCCAGGTAACTTTGAGCAAGAGATTAGAGATTTTTTATAAACTCAACTCTAGCAGATTTTAGGTTCTAATGATAGGATTTTAAAGTGTTATAATCCCGACCAAATCCAATAAACATTGTTTTCCCTACCTTTTTTTTTGTCTTGAAATGTATATTTAAAGTGCTTGTGACGTGCTTATCCTTCAAATACAAAACGTCAAAGAAAAAGCAGCTTCATATTTAGGAAAAATTGCATAAAACACACGATTTAACCCATTTTGTCACATAACTGGCATATTTTCTTTTGAGTTTGACTTGTCTAAAGTGAAACAGGAAGTGACATCAAAGGGGAACTCCTTAAGAAAGAAAACTCCCTGGTCTTTGTTTATTTTTTTTTTATCTCTGACATTTCTTCGTCTCTCTTTCATAGGGACTAAAATTATCCAAAAAGAAAAAAAAACATTAAAAAATCCCTGCTGTCTGTGTTGTTAGCTGTTGTAGCAAAGTTTTGTTTACATGCAGACCCTTTGACATCACTTCCTGTTACTTCACATGCAAAATAACTGTTCATCTCACTGGTGTGAAATTGCTTTTGCAGTATGTTATCCATGTTATCTGTCCAAAAGGGCTATCACATTTGTCACAAAACAATGATGTCACAGGCACTTTAACACAGCAAGTTTTTATACTTTGTTACCTTTGTAACATGTTCCTTCTGAAATCTGGAAACGTTGCTGTTTAGCTCAGTGCTGCTTCATAAAGTGGACGTTTAGGGCAGTGTTTTAACTCAGACCTACAGACTGAACCATCTGTGTTCCTGATTCAGGCGCCTGCAGGAGAGGGAGCGGATCGGGGAGCTCGGTTGTCCTGAAGTTTGGGGTTACTCGCCGAGAGTGAAGGAGCCAGAGTAAGAATCCATCATCGCATCAAACGATTAATTCATATGTTGTTGYTTTTAGGGAAGCTTTGTTAATTCTTGTTTGCCTTTTGGTAAATGTGGATTTTCTGTCCTTCAGCTCTGATGAATTCACACCCGTGGAAGAAGATGAGAAAAACAACAGCTCAAAATCAAGCTCAGAAGGTATGCAGACACTGAAGACAAGTTGCAGACACACACACACACACACACACACACACACACACACACACACACACACACACACACACACGCTCGCCGCAGTGATGAAATGTTCAAGATATGTTTTCCAGTTATTGCTGAAATGAGAACACATATATCATCAGTCTCTTTGGGAAATATCCTGAACAGACCTGTTTTAATGCACCAGCATGTCCTATAATATTCTGTAATTTTCTGTGAACATTTGAAAATGTTTTTTTGAATAACGGGTCTACATTTGTCTGGAGCTTGTGTTTGAATTTTCAAGTTCTTCCTGTGATTAACAGAGGAAAAGAARAAGAAGAAGAAGAAAAAGAAGTCCAAGAAAAGAAAAAACAGGAAACATTCAGAGGACAGCGAGCTAGAATCTGATTCAGATGGTAAAGAGTCACGATTMAATGCACTTGTTCAATCTCATCGTTTTTTGTTGCTTTTATTTTTAATAACCAGTTGAGCTGAATGCATTTTTTTACACAGCAGAGGAAGAAGCAAAGAAGAAGAAAAAGAAGAAAAAGAGCAAAAAGTGAGTTTTATGTTCACCACTTGCCAGCTATAATCACACTTTTCTGTAAATTTCAATCAACTAAACATTATAATTTGGTAAAGGTCTAAGAAGTCGAAGAAGAAGAAGATGAAGAAGAACAGGAAAGAGTCCAGTGACTCAAGCAGCGAGGAATCGGAGGAAGAGGAGGAGGAAGCCGGTGCGGTGATGTGGGTGGAGAAAACGTGCATCGACGAACACATAGTTGGTCCTGAAGCTCCGCTCACTCATACCTCGCAGGATGACAAACCTCTGGAGTGAGTTTTACTTTTTTTTTTTTTTCAATGTCCAACTTTCAAACTAAAATCTCAGTCAAGTTACAAAAAATGTCTGCTGCAAAAAAAATACAAGTGTTAAAACAAATGGGAAACAATTTCAAATTATTTTATTTATTTTAAGACAAAACTTCAAATGTGACATTGTTCATAAATATATCTATTTCTGTATCTTTTCAGTTTTGGTCATGCTTTGCTGCCGGGTGAAGGTGCTGCCATGGCCGAGTACGTGAAAGCGGGCAAACGTATCCCAAGAAGAGGAGAAATTGGCCTCACCAGTGAGGAGATCGCAGACTTTGAGAAGTCTGGTTACGTCATGAGCGGCAGCAGGTGAGAAATGTTTTGTCTGCTTATTTAAATGTATGAGCGTAGCTCAGTGTAAGGAAACATAAGCTACTGAACTAAGTCAAAATAAAAGCAGAGGGAGAGAAGACGAGCAGCGCCATCTACTGGTGGAATCGTTCTCTAATTTAATGCATGAGGGAAAAAGTCATTCAAGCCATCTAAAGCCCTAAAAATCCTTGTTTGTAAACCTGTTAAATTCTGTCTTTTAGTTTATTTAAAGCTACGCACTGGAAAGTATGAACTCAAACATAAAAACTATACTTCACTTTACACTTATTGGTCTGTTGAGATTGTTTTGCACTGAAAATAGGCAATTTCTTATTCCTTAAGTCGGATTCTGATAGTCTACTGTCTCTAAAACAAAACTTAACTTTTTCTATTTTTGCACAATTCTTTATATTTTTATTTTCTATTATTAGTTGTATCATGGCTAGTCAGTGTTAATTTTTGTTTTGCGTGTACTATCTATAGTTTGTAAAGTAACTAGTGTGTGAACCACTGCACTGATGCTGCTGTGACACCTGAATGTCCCCTCGGCGGGACAATAAAGGCTATTCTATTCTATTCTATTCTATTCTATTCTATTCTATTCTATTCTATTCTATTCTATTCTATTCTATTCTATTCTAAAAAGGGTACTGAACTAGATCAGATGGTGCAGTTTGAGTGGTTTCCTGCTTTATTGATGTATAATTCTGAATTGTGGGTACGCACTCAGTGCAAACAAAGCACTGAGCTGAACCTACTGAAAACCACATGAAAGCTTCTGTCATGAGACAGACCAATGTTAGGCTGGTCAGAGTCTGTGTAATTTAATAATAAAAATTAAACACATTGGGCCTCATGCAAGAACATGTTCGTATTCTTCTCCTACATTTCTCTTACTTTTGTTCGTACAAAGGGTTCGTACGAACATGTCACGTCAGATTCAA